AAGGTGGAGGATCACCTTAGAGGAGAGGAGGTTGGCACGCAGGTTGGCCACAAGGCCGACCATGGGAAGATTTGGGCCTAGATCAGCGAGTGTGGCAGCAACGTATGGACCAGGGTCAGTGCATGTATTGTGGTGACCCAACCCGTATTATTGAATATTGTCCTAAGTACCGAGAGGCCCGATGGGCTGCCCAGGAGTCAAAAGGCAGCCGCCGGTAGGGGTTGCAACTGCTCCTACTACGAGGCCATGTGGGGAAGCGAGCGCGCCCGAACAGGAAACTCCCACACCACATGAGCCATCGACAGAGGTTGCAGGCGGGTGCCTAGCTAGCTGTCCAGAGACTGCTTGTGTTAGCGTCTCTCTAGGCACTTCCCTCACAGGTGTGGCAGAAGAGTTGAAGGGGAGGATGCCTGCGTGGGCCAAAATGAAGAATGATAGTAAGGGACAACTAGTCTTAGTTGACGTAGAGGTTTTTAGAAGTAGAGTAGGGGTCCTTATAGATTCAGGGCCACCCGCAATTATATTAGCCATAAAGCGCTGAAGAAGCTGAGGCTAGGGTTGAAAGTCCAAAAGTTGGAAGACCCCATAGTTAGTGTCCTCGCAGACAACTGCACTATGCGTGTTGAGGACTACGTAGAGGGAGTCCAGGCGTATTTCCGCCAAGAGAAAAATGGGAAGGTGGAGAAGGTTCTCCATTCCCCGACTCTCCTCGTGCAGGATGACCTACGTAGAGGGAGTCCAGGCGTATTTCCGCCAAGAGAAAAATGGGAAGGTGGAGAAGGTTCTCCATTCCCTGACTCTCCTCGTGTAGGATGACCTTCCTTTTGATATAGTCCTAGGCATGGACTAGGGAGAGGCAATAGGGGCCACACTTCATTTGAGAGAGCATGAGTGTAGGCTCCCTAGTCCGTCAGGCGAGGTTAAGACCGCTCGCCTGTTTCATGTGTCTGGGGTACATAACTCCTTGGCACATTGCTGTCTCAGTGCTCCCGCGTTTGCGCGACTAGTAAGAAAGGAGCAGTTAGAGGATCAGGTCTTCGTAGTGTATGTCAGATCTGTTACTGAGCCTTAGGAAGGGGATATTCCCATGGGTCCAACCATTGCCAAGCTGTTGGAAGAGTTTCAAGATTTGACAGAGCCGCCAACAGGAGTAGTGTCGCGGCTGATCCAGCACATAATAGAAATAGAGCCTGGCAGTAGAACTCCAAAGGGAGCGGTCTAGGTGGGCCGCTGAGATAGACCAGTACGACTTTGAGCTCAAGCCTGTTAAAGGCAAATATAATGTAGTTGCGGACGCTCTAAGTAGGAGGTCAGATGACTTTGGAGCTATAGTTCACTATCTGGATATAGGGAACGACCTGCAGGAGAAAGTTAGGCAGGCTTATGCGCACGACCCTATTTATAGTTCTCCTCAAGAGAGTTAAGGAGGCCCCAGAGACCGAGCCAGATTACCGCACTACAAAGGGGTTCCTATTTGAGAAGACCAATGTAGTAGACCGTCTGTGCGTTCCTAACAGTGAGGAGATCCATAGTTTGATCCTAGGGGAATGCCACGTTACAGAGGGACATTTCGGTTGGCAAAAGACTCTAGCCAATCTGATGCATGCGTATACTTGGCCAGGAATGAAAGCTGACTGCATAAGAGTATGTCCGCAGTTGCAAAGTATGCCAGAGAAACAAGAGTACTACGCGTGCCCCTCTAGGTCTTCTCAGACCCTTGCCTATTCCTGACCAGCCCGAAGACTCGGTGTCCATTGACTTTATTGATACCCAAGTCAAGAGTAGGCATGACAAGAGCCAGGTCATGGTCGTAGTTGATAGATTTAGCAAGTATACAATTTTTGTTCTTTTGCCTGCAAAGGCCCGTATTGAGTTAGTGATTCAGAAATTTTTGGACTTTTGGGTTAGTGAGCATGGAGTCCCATTGTCCATAGTTAGCGATAGAGATAGCGACTTTACAAGTTAGAACTGCTAGGAACTGATGAAAGTCTATGGGTCAAAGTTGCTGATGTCATCTGGCCGTCACCTAGAGACTAACGGTCAGACTGAGCAGATGAATAAGATCCTGCAGCAAGTTCTGCTCATGTACATTAGACCTGATCAAGTCAATTGGGACGAGATGTTGCTCAAGGTAGCCAGCGCGTACAATAACAGCGTGCATTTGTCCACCTGCCGCACTCCCAACGAGTTGCACAAGTCCTTTAAACCGCGCAGACCGTTTGAGGGGCTTAACCGAGATCAGATTCATAGGCTACCGCCCGGTACCATGGAGTTCGCGATACAGCACGAGAAAGAGCTAGCTACAGTTGTAGAGAACCTCAGGAAGGCCCAACATAGAATGATAGAGCAAGCCAACAAGCATCGTCGCCCATCGCAGTTCCAAGTAGGCGACTTAGTCTGGGTCAAGTCCAAAGAGTTTGCTCCTGAGGTAAACATCTCGCAGAAGTTACTGCCAGCGTACAGGGGACCATGGCCAGTTCTAGAAGTCAAGGGCGGAGACGATGGGCCGTCCTACACAGTAGAGATCCCAGCACACCTCCACACCTACGCGGTGTTCCATGTATCAAAGTTGTTGTCGTGTGTCACAAGTCAACAATTTCCGTCTAGAAGGTCCACGATCCCTCCGGACATGGACGAAAGATACGACATTGACGGCATTGTAGGTGAAGACGTGTTCAGAACAGGAGGTAGAGGTCGTCTACAGAAGCAATACTAGGTCCGGTTTGCTTATCAGGAGAACCGAAGGATGATCGCTGGTTTACCAAAACAGAACTGCTGGAAACAGCTCCCGACATAGTTAGGGCCTACGAGAGAGAGATAACAAAGGTAAAGGTCCCGCCTTGGACTGAGTTATCCTCGGAGGACCTCAAATTTAGGCCGGCGGGAGTGAAACCGTATTCACCTGTCCGCAGTAGCCGATGCAGATCCCAGGGCTCGATCGCTAGTTCCCACCTTACCTGTGTATAGTATCTGTGTCGAACCCGAGAGTTGAACCCGTGACCTGTGTATTTGTAACAGTTGGTAGACTGTCGTAGGGTCCGTAGATAGTGGGGGTTCGATCTGTAGACCTGTCGGGTAGGAGTCGTAGCAAGTTCTAGAAGTCCTAATTGTAGCTCCTCTGAAAGGTCAAGGCCGTAGCTGCTACAGTCCAGAAGGGTCAAGGTCGTAGCTGCTACAGTATCGAAAGGCCAAGTCCACGGCCTTCCGGAAGGTCCTAGTAGTGGCCTTTGGAAGTTGCTCACGTTGAGGCTGAAGCAAGTGGGCAAGTGGTGGAGTCTACCCGTGCTGAGTCAGCGGTCCCAGTCCTAGTCCAGTCAAGCAAGTACCGCATGGGACTGTCTGCACCACGGGCATGGGAAAGGGGCAGACCAACGAGATACAGAAGTATAAATCAAGGGGCAGCGCCCAGCTATTCACTCATTCCTGCGTAAGCCATGCGGAAGTGCTGCTTGTGCGAGGTGGTCTGCAGTGAGCCCGAGGACGAAGTGGGCGAGAAGGAGCTTAGCCATAGCGATAGGGTAGCTGCGGCCATAGCCGCCATAGCTGATAGGAGAGTGTAGCGTGTATGTGTGTGCGTGTGTGAACACTGTGATGCGTGTGGGATATCCAGGGTGATCCTGTGTGTGTGTGTGTGTGAACAGAGAGTTGTACACGCGCTGTGACGCCATAGCCATTTGAAGTGAACTTGTACTTGAACAGCGTTCTTGGCTACCATATCTCTGAGGTCTGAGCGGGCGCTTGTCGCCAGTTTGCTGCGCAACCTGTTTGCATGCGTGTGAAGTGTGAATGAGATCGAGTCTGATTGCATTACGGTCCGGACATTTCTGGACATGCTTACGAGGAACCGTACATGTCCGGGGGTCCGGATGTGTACGGATGTCTGGCCTTCCGAACCCGTCCGGTCTCGGGACATGAGCTGTCCGGGTCCGGCGTAGCCATGCTTTTTTCACCGTCCACTGCATTATTGCCCTTTTCAAAAAAATTAAGTAATGGTTCCCGAAGGCGACGTGGCGATCACAGGTTTTGATTTCCAGATTGTTTTCCTGCTGCATATCTACTTCCCACTTAAATTGTCTGCGGTTTGTAAAAAACAAAACAATCTGGTAGGTGATGGCAGCAAAAGACAATGATTACGATACGGCCCAAGGATGAGAACGGCCATGGTGATGATGATGGATGGTGATGACAATGGCGATGGCAACAACTGTTCTGGTTTGTGAGAGAGTGGATATGTAGTTGTCTTTTCAAGGTCGCAGCGATGGGGTAGTTGGATGCAAGGTTATTTTAGACAAACTGTGCTGTCATCAAGGGTAGTGATGATGATTGATTTTAATGATGATGATGGTCTTTTTCTTTTGGTGGTGGTGGGGGGGGTGAACCTTATGCAACGGGAGGGCCCGGTATTGAAGGCTCCATCTATTGGTGGGGAGCGGCACCTGCTGGAAATCGGGCCCAGTGTCCCTGTACATCTGAAAAGTTTTGTGATAGCTGTGTAAACATTGATAATTGTCTCTGTATGCAGCAGGAGGCATTGCTTACTCCCCAGAAAGGGAAGGATTGACTTCCCACTGTCCAAATCAGTACACACAGAGCGTTTCCAGAACCACTATCAGGTGCCTTGAAGAGCAACCCCAGGTTCAACACAAATCAACCAACGCCCTGCCATTTTTCGGCTTGATTCTGATTCAAGAATTTTGTCTGCAAAAACTCCTTGTCCAATGTCCAGTCAGTTTTTCTAATATAGAGAAAGAAAAAGGTGTTCAGTCTTTTATTACAGTTAATAACATAGAAAGTAGGCTCAAACTTTGTTTAAAAGATCTAGAGAATTACCATTTATTCTTTGACTAATTTGCACAAGAATCTTAAACTTCAAACCAATTATTTCCATATTTTAATTAACAATTATTTGAAAGAAATGTATTGGAGTACCCAGCCTAAGTGATTAGGTTTCAAAAACCTACTGATGATGCTTGTGATGGTGGTGATGCTGTTGGCTGCAGGGAAAACGGCGTCTCTGGACCCACAGACAAAGATTGTCGTTCCTGAGGACAGGGATGGGCTATTCTGCTGCGACATTTTAGATCCTGCAATTGTACGTACATTGCTGCTTGGCGTTGTACAACCACACTGAGTGTTGTCGTTGTTCTGGATATACATGTGAATCCTTTGATGTGGTGTGGGTAGGTGGGTGAAGGTGGATTATCAATTGCAGTATCGCTGGTTAGGGTACTGTGCAGACTGGAGAGGGTTCAGCCACCTGATGACTTGGTGAAACTCTGGCCAAACAGTCTGTCAAAGCACCTCTTGTCCTACCATTCATCGGACGTTTTTTTGAAACGGTGTATATATATTGTCACATCACTACAAACTAAAAGAGCGCACTTTGCGGAACAAAGAATAAAAGCAAAAAACGGGCACAGTGATAACATGCAAAAATAAAAATAAAAATAAAAAGAAAAAGAAAAAACAAGGGCAGATTGAAACCATTAAATTTCTCATTCTTCTTTGAACTCCACCTCCACTGTGCCTCTCACGTGCAAGGCTCGCCACGTTGATGAAGTTGAGCGCGAGCTGCCCCCATCCCCGTATGCCATAACA